CACACACACACACACACACACACACACACACACACACACATGCACTCAAACGCTTTCTTAGTCTTAGTACACGTGCATGTGCACATTCTAGAGTGGGAAGTGGAAGGAGGAAGAAAGATCATACGATGGGGGCTGCTAGCTGCGTGCAATATTGCGTGAACGAGCAAGGTCTCAGAGGATGTAGTTGTGACATGTAAACGCTGAAACAAGGATTTACCCACGTACTGAGATTGTGCACGTACGAATAGCCTTGTACTTTGGCACTCAATTTTATCTAATAGAAGCGGCACAGCGGCAGTCATGACCGTTATTTATATAATTTTGTTCACTCGTTCCCTGTTTGATTCGAAAGCAGCGAGCGAGCGAGAGAGCGACAGAAAGGTGAAGGATGGAAAACCCCCTTGCAATGACCTTCACCTCTTGACCTAATGACAGACTTCGCCAGCCAGAAACATGGCGCTACCTGCGAGGAGACGAAACAGCTTCTACCGTACACTGAAGAATGTCGAGCCAGATCTTGAGGATTTGGTTTTTGACAGAGGTGCATCTGCAACAGCACAAAACAAATGGCTTTTCGAAATTGCATGGGAAGTTGCAAACAAAGGTAAGAGCGTTGTTATTTTGCTGTAACCCCAAAAAACATGAGAAACTTTTTGCCGACTTTGGCCGGATACGACATACACACACTCGTCTCTACTCGATGTCTACGAGACTACAGCACAGCACAACCAGGGATCCCAAAGAATTGAACCTTTATTTAGATACAGATGCTTGCTCTTTAATCAACAGTTCATCCGTACGGCTTCGTTCAATTAATTCACAGGCATTTTGGCCTCTCAACTTTTCTTCGAACTTCACCAAAGAAAGCAGTTTTTTAACCATTAAAAGTCAAGGCCACAGACAGTGTTTTCTGACAGTGGGTTTTCAAGAAATGTAGATCTAAATGATGTGTGCCCTTTAGATTGAAGTCCAGATCTTACTTCAATTCTCAGTCATGGACTGAATGCTTTTCTTATTGTAAACAAATTTTCAGAAGTTATAAATCTAGAGTCGATGTGCTGTGCTGGACCGCGGCAGTTTCATGAGGTCAAATGGCTGTGACTCTTGTGCGTGAAGAAAACATGAATGGTGTGTGTGGTCACACATTCACTCACGCACACTCATGCACACTCACACACACACGCACACTCACACAGACGCACACTCACCCACACACACACACTCACACACACACACACACACACACACAAGCACACTCACTGTACTAACGCACACACACGCACACTCACTCACTCACACACACATCACACACACACACACACACACACGCACACATGGGCCACTCCATTTGCAATTATTATCAACAAATCTCGATCATGGAAACAGTTAGGAGAAATAGAGTTCAAGTTTATTTTCCTGAGCGTTCGGAGATATAGAGTATAGAGCCGGCCTTATTTTTAAGTTGTTTCTTACACTTGACTTTGTCATGTCAAATTGACTTTCTCATGTTGGATTCTTAAAAGTAAGGTGTAGAAACAAAAGTTACAGTGAGTTTTTATGCCATTGGTTACGCCTTCCGTTCTCATCCAATACCCTCTATCATTCCATTCATCGGTAGAATAATGAGTAGTGTCGTTTTGGGGAGTGAAGGGACAGCGTGGTGGTGTGTGAACATTAAAAATGCTTACATCAGCATATATATCATGTAAAAGTGTGTTTTTGACACTCTTTGTGCATGTAATAATAATAATAATAATGAAGATCATTTCTATAGCGCCCTGTCCCGTGTAAACACAGCTAACATTTACTGTGTATGGTGACTTAGCCAAAAACAAATAGGGATATGGGGTGCTTAAATTTTGTTAGCTTTTTTGCTGATCAGTCATTTCTTGTTGCAGTTAAGCAGAGAGATCAACTTAAAAAAAATATTAACATTGCTCAAAACCTTGAGATGAGGTAACTATGTATTCATTGTCACTTATATTAACACTAAGGTTGTAGATTATATTCTAATTTGCAGTTCTGCTTCCGTGGAAAAGAGACAAAGAAGAAGAGCAATTGATGCTTTTCAACTAGAGACACGCCCACCCCCCCTGGCTATGTGATCAGTGCAGCACTAATATAATCTGCAGGAAAAAAACAAACAATTAATTTCATCTCTTGTCCATCTACTCTACTCCCATCAGATGTAAGGTTGTGGAGTGGAGTGGGTGGGAGTGGTCATTTGTACAGAGGTGATGGCTGTTCCGCTGTGGTCAGTTGTGGCAGTTAGAGCTATACCCATCTCTAGCCCACCTTGTTAAGGGCATCATCATCATCATCATTGCCTTTCTCACCCTGCTCCAGGGTATAGGCCACGGACAAACACCCCCCATTTTTCTCTATCCTGGGCTAGCCTCTTGATGTTATTCCATGTCTTCCCACTTTTCTGTACATCGATTTCTGTGATTCTTCTCCAAGTTCCACGCGGTCTTCCCCTTGATCTCTTGCCCTGTGGGTTCCAGTCCAAAACTTTTTTTGTTATGCAGCTGCCTGACTTCCTGAGAGTATGTCCAATCCATCGCCACCGCCTTCTTCCTACCTCATCTCTGACTGGGATCTGTCTTGTTTTCCTTAACACTTCCACATTGGTGACCCTGTCTGTCCATCTGATCCTCAGTAACTTTCTTAGACACCTGTTCAAGAAAACCTGGATCCTCTTATACAAGTCTGCGATGCGTTCCATGCCTCACATCCATACAACAGGACCGACTTCACGTTTGAATTGAAAATCCTCAGCTTTGTTCGAAGTGAAATCTCTCTGGTCTTCCAAATCCTATCCAAAGATATGAAAGCAGCCTGTGCTTTTCCAATGCGGGACTTTATTTTATTTCAGCACCTGTTCCTCCCTCTCTGTCTATTATGCTCCCAAGATAACAGAAGGATTCAACGTTTTCTAGGGCCTTTCCTTTTATTGTGACCTGCTCCTTTCGTTGTGCATCTGTCCTTAGTAAGGTTGAGGGCACTTGAATTATATCATGTATTGCCCCATTGAGTCCATTGTGTCGTTTGACTTTTGGATGTCATTGGAAGTTCCGCAGAGGGCCGGCCGACCAACCACCCACAAAAGAGGGGATATTTTGAGCTGGGTGTAACCATAACCCTAATCCTTACCCAAACCCCAACCCCTGACCCTAACCCCAATCCCTAACCCTCACTTGTATGTTGGTGGTCGGCAGGTGCTGTGGTGTGGTTTACTCCTTTTTTCCTACCAAACATCTATCGTCCTGATCTCTCTTCAATTTTGTGTTTGTTACTCTCTTGTAACACCTCTAATCTTCAGCACTTTTGACCTTATTGTGTTGCAAGTGCCGTAAAACTCTTACTAAAACTAAACTAACTCTTGTATAGTTTGCTCAGTGGACCTTGTCACGGTAAGTGCCGGCCCTCTGGGGAACCCCTCCTTGTTAATTTCATACGTTTTATTGATTCTTGATTCTTTTATTAGTTTGACATGATTTTTAAAGGATAGTTTTCCCCTCCTCATAGTAGATTTCTTAACTTTTGTTAAAATGTATAATTATTTTGTTCTTCAGTTGGTGGCATCTACACTGTGATAAAAACAAAAGCCCCAGTGACGGTAGAAGAATGGGGGGAACAGTATTGCCTGATGGGCCCCTACAACGAGGCCTGTGTGCGCACAGAAGTGGAAATTCTCGAACCTCATCATCATGTGTATCGAGAGACCATTGGCAATATGAGGAAGGCTGGCATCAAGGTATCTGAAAGAAATGTTTATCTGATATGTATATATGTGTGTTTGTTTTGTGTGTATATGAATGAGTCTCATCATATGATGTGACGACACTGTGCTTGGCTTTCGTATTGTTGAAATACCTCTGATCAATGCCCGGGAGACTTGGTTCGCAAAAAAAGAGGGTGATTGGTGGGTGCTCAAGTGTGTTTGGTTTGCTCCTTCTTTCCTATCCAACATCTATCGTCCTGATCTCTCGTCTTTCTTTTTTGTGTTTGTTACTCTCTTGTAACACCTCTAATCTTCGGCACTTATATTTGACCTTATTGTGTTGCAAGTGCCGTAAAACACTTACTAAAACTAAAAACCTTACTAAAACTTAACTAAAAACATGTAGTTAAATAACAACAACCAAAAAACCCCTAACTGTTGGCAACTTTCCTTCGACAGGTATACTTCGGTCGTTGGCTGATTGATGGCTACCCCAAAGTGGTTCTGTTTGACATCGGGTCGGCAGCCTGGAAGCTCGATGAGTTCAAGCACGAGCTTTGGGAGACAGCTAACATCGGCATCCCGTGGCACGACCGCGAGTCCAACGACGCAGTTATATTTGGTGCCCTGGTCGCCTGGTTCTTGGGAGATGTAAGAACAGTGTCATCAATCATCAATGCCTTTCACCCCTTATCTTCGGCACCTATTTGACTTTATTACGTTGCAAGTGCCGTAAGACTCTTACTAAATCTTAACCTAATTTTTCATCCCTGGCAGGGTATAAGCCACATACAATCTATTTTCATTTATCTCTGTCCTGGGCCATCCTTCCAAACTCGTTCCAAGTGAGCTTGATCTCTCTCATCTCCCTTTCCACGCATCTCCTCCATGTTTCCCGTGGCCTACCCCTGCCTCGTGTTTCCTGTGGGTTCCACTGCAGTGACTGTCTTGTGATGTTTCCGCTGGGCTTTCTTAAGGTGTGTCCTATCCATCGCCACTTTCTTAGTCCTATTTCTACTTCTATATATCCTTTTCTCTTGTCCTTTCCTACAGCTCTTCATTTCTTATTCTATCCTGTGCGAGCTTAAAACTAAATTTTTTTTGCCTGTGGACACTCGCCTTCGTTTTTTCAGTTTTCTTTAGCGAAGGATTAAAAGAAAAAATTTGCTTACATATTTTGTGTGAGTGGTTGGTGGGTGCTCTTGATGAGGTTTGTTCTTTCTTTCCAAGTAAACATCTGTCATCCTCATCTCTTTTCCTTTTATTTTGTATGTTACTCTCGAGTAACACCTTTAATCTTTCGCGCTTATATGACATATTTTGTGTTGCAAGTGCCTTAAACTTTTACCAAACTGAGTAAATTCAATCTTGTGTTTTTTGTTGTTGTCATTTTCCTATCCCGGCCCCTAGCTCTGGAAAACACTGCCTATACTTTAAGAGAGATCAAATCTTTTCACCCATTCAAATGTTCGCTTAAGTTATTTTTCTGTTTTTAGACTAATGAAATAATATATATATAGAATTTTAGTCCCTTGAGAATTTTTTGTAGCCTACTGTTTACATGTAGCATTTGTATTTGTAAAGTGCTCCAAGCCTGTGTTCTTTAATCGGGGCTGAGCGCTCTATCTGGGTGGTTGACGGGTGCTTGGGTGTGGTTTACTCCTTCTTTCCTTATTCAAACATCTATCGTCTTTGTTTCTCCTCCTTCTTTTTTTTGTATGTTACTCTTGTAACACTTTTATTTTTATTCTTCGGCACTTATATGACCTTCTTGAGTTGCAAGTTTGGTAAAACTCCTACTGTGGGTGGTTGGCGGGTGCTCTGGTGTGGTTTGCTTCTTCTTTCCTATCAAACATCTATCGTCCTCATCTCCCATTCTTCTTTTTATGTTTGTTACTCTCTTGTAACACCTCTAATCTTCAGGTGCTCATATGAACTTATGCAATTGCGAGCGCCGTAAAACCTCTACTAAATTATTTTTTTTTAAGAAAAAAAAGAACTTTTACTAAAAACATCAAAAAAGCTCTCTCTAAAGATTTCATGAATGTTGTAATTGTTCTCGTTGGTCCAGTTCATCAAGAACACCCAAGGGGAGCCCATGGTGACAGCCCATTTCCATGAGTGGCTGGCAGGTGCCGGTCTGATCTACACAAGAACGCGGAAACTTAACGCTGCACTTATGTTCACGACTCATGCTACACTGCTCGGACGCTACCTCTGCGCCGGCAGTGCCGATTTCTACAACAACCTGGATAAGGTAACTCGAAGTCATTTTCTCTAATCTGGTCTCTATCATTCGTGTGTTTTTATATATAACTACAGTCTAGAGGGTGTGGTGGCGGAGCGGTTAGTGCGCTCGTCTCCGAAGCGGAAATTCCGGGTTTGAGCTGAAAAACATCGATTTTTTCGCCCCCTCCTGCCCTCCCAGCTGTAATGGGGACCTGACTTTGAGTTGGGGAAGTAAAGGTGGCGTGGAAAGGAACTGGCCACCCTACCACAATATGCCGAAGGCCCAGGAAGTTGTCTCACTAACAAGGCAATCCCCAATGTCCGGATCGGATGCGGGAACAACTTTACTTTACTTTACAGTCTAGCTAGCACGTAGCGAAATCAGCAGGAGTGGAGAAGCTTTTTTTCTGGTATGTCTGAATACCACCAAGTCCTTCATCTTCATCGAGTGCCAGAATTGTGACAGACTTTGGCAATCATGGTTCTTCAGTTCTCGCTTCATTCCTTTGCTTGGATACTCTAAGAAAGAAGAAAGGGAAGAAAGCTAAGTATGTGCTTTAAATACAGAGAAGAATAATACGTCATGTATGAGAAATAATTTGGGACCTGAAAATCTGTACACTTTATCCGTTTTTTGCTGTGTGTATGATTTGCTTAATTTGTAGTATATCTACAGAAAGAAGGATTTTTAAAATTTAAAAGTGATATCAAATATTTTGAGTGTCTACCAAACTCGAAAGTGTACATGATTTTGTTTTTTTTATGAAAAAGAAAAAAAATTCCCCGTTAGCCCAGTTGAAATGTTTACTCGTATGATTGTGAAGCGTGCTGACAAAATGAGTTACTTCTCGGGTTGATGCCTTAAGGAAATAGATACATCACGCTTTTTGCTTAAGTTTTTACAATTTATAAGTATGAAATAATAGAAAACAGGTTATAGTGAAAGAATATGACATCAATAGAAAATCTAAAAATTTGACCCTATTGTCGATTTTTGGCTAATATATCCATTTGTGGATTGCGAGAAGTTACTCATTTTGTCAGCATGCCTCACATATGTTCTGTGATGAGAACGGGCGTTTGGTTGAATCAACTCCATCTGACGCGGATCTACTTTCTTCTCTTTGTGTCTGTGACTCTTGTGTGTGTCTGTTGGTGTGTTGTGTGTGTTGTGTGTATGTTATGTCGGTTGGTTTGTCACTGTGTCGGTCGGTGTGTCGGTGTGTGAGAAGATGTCAGAGGAGGGAACAGAGTGCTCACAGGTAAGCCGTAGGTGCTCGCTGCTAGAGTGAGACGGCACTGCATGGGTTGCCCGCGACCTACGAAGACGACGCGACAGAGTTTTGAGGTGTTGTTGTGTGGCTTGACGACAGTCGAGCGTGTTGTGCTGCTTGAGTTCCGGACGAATACTCGATGACAAAGATTGGAAGTAGGAATACTGAATGACAAAAGATTGGAAGTAGGAATACTCAATGACAAAAGATTGGAAGTAGGAATACTCTGTGACAAAAGATTGGAAGTAAGAATACTGAATGATAAAAGATTGGAAGTAGGAATACTGAATGACAAAAGATTGGAAGTAGGAATGCTTAATGGCAAAAAATTGAAAGTAGGAATGTTTAAAAAATATTGATTGAGAGTAGGAATGCTCAATGGCAAAAAAATGAAAGTAGGAATGCTCAATGGCAACAGAAATAGATGACAGGAATGCTCAGTGACAAAAGATTGAAAGTAAGCATGTTAAAAGAAAGGAAATGGATTGAAAGTAGGAATGCTCAATGAGAAAAGCTTGGCTTTAGGAATGTTAAAAAGATATTGATTGAGAGTAGGAATGACAATAAAAATGGACTGAAAGTAAGCATGCTCAGTGACAAAAGATTGACTGTAGAATGCTTTACAAATTTTGATTGAAAGTAGGAATGACAAAAAAAAAAAAATGGATTGAAAGTAAGCATGCTCTGTGACAAAAAAATTTGAAAGTAGAAATCCTGTGACGAAAGAAATGGATTGAAAGTAGGATTGCTCAATGAAAAAGGATTGAAAGTAGGAATACTCAATGACAAAAATGGATGGAGTGAGAGTTGTTGAGGCAACAGAATGCAGACTGATGTAGTACACGACGTAACGGGAGAAGTGCTCCTGGCTAAATAATGGACGGAAAAACCCATGGGTCTCAATGTTCTGCTATTTAGCGGATTCCGCTACCGCCATTTCCTCCGCCTAACCACCATTTTCTGTACGTAATCAAGATTGTAAATATTTGGTACCTGACTTTTACATGAAATTATCTTCTAAACCTTCAAATTGGAATGAAATAACCTTGCTTCGATAAATTGACTGTTTTTATTTCAGATTTCAAGGGTTAAACAGTATAGTAATAATGGGTGTCTCGCGAAAATTATCTTCAGTCGCGATCACGCGGAAATTCCTTCTTTTCTAAAATTCTGAGTTGAGACTCATGAAAAATGTTCAAGGAGCACAGTTTTTATGAAACGATTTCACATGGTTGACTGGTTATGGTCCAGTAAGGTATTCAAGAATTCTCCGAGGGTTGCAGGTTTTCACTTCTGCTGTGTGTGATCCACAGGTCATCTAGTCTTGCACGTGCATATTATTTGCTCACTTTTAAGCACAGGGGGGGCTATCCCGAAAAATGCTGTTTTGAGAAAATCAAAGGTAAAGTTTTTGCCCCTTGTTCCGTTTCTTTAAAAGACAAGGAGAGTTTTCTCTATAACCACTTAAATATACACACCAATGAAACCAAACTTCTCCTTTAGGTTGGGCAATGTCCACTTTTGGTGAAGGTCAAGATTTCTGGAAACCCCGAAATCTGGGTTAGTCCGCTTGTCCTTAAAATCGACCATTTGAGGTTTATTAAGAGTTTTACGGCTCTTGCAACACAGATAGGTCAAACAACTATAAAGGCCAAAGATTCGAGGCGTCAGAAAAGAGCGACCTGCGTGCTTTCTTGTATTATCTCCTTTTTTTAAAACTCTGAAAAATGTGACTTCAAAAATCTCACTCTTTGTTATGAACTGTTTTCACTGTGTGGGTGGTTGGTGGGCACTCGGGTGTGGTTTGCTCCATCTTTCTTATCAAACATGTATCATCTTTATCTCCCCTCCTTCTTTTTTGTGTTTGTTACTCCCTTGTAACACTTCTATTCTTCGGCACTTATATGACCTTATTGTGTTGCAAATGCATTATTACTCTTACAAAAATTTTTTTTTTCACTGTAATTAAAAATGGAGATAGGACAAGAAAGCACTGAGGTCACGAGAGAGGAACACACAAAGAAGAGGATGTGGAAGGATAAGGACGATAGATGCTTGATATGAAAGATGGAGCAAACCACGCTACCAGAGCTCCCAACGATCTCCCCTTGCATGTCGCTGTGATGGAAAGTTGGTGGCTTGGTATTGTGACATAATGATGATGCTCCCTGTGTCTTGATCATTGTTAATTTGTTCTGTCTCTCCTCCCTCACCCCTCCCTCTGGGTGGTTGGGGGTGCTCTGGGGTGGTTTACTTCTTCTTTCCTATCAAACATCTCTCGTCCTGATCTCTCCTCCTTTTTTGTGTTTGTTACTCTCTTGTAACACCTCTAATCTATGGCACTTATATGATCTAATTGTGTTGCGAGTGCCGTAAAACTCTTACTAAAACTAAAACTCATCCACCCCCCCTCCCCTACCCTTCCCATCTCTCCTTA